CCATGGTTCTCAGCTATGGCACGGCCTGCATCAGATAACCCTGTCATGTCCTTGCTCCTTCTTGTGGCACATTAGCATGCTCCAGTTTTGGGACTCAATTTTTCAGCAGCAATACAAGATCTTAGTAGTCCCTTTATTCAAGCATATCTTAAAGTGGACATGTCAAGAATTGCCACTTCTAACGATATCGCGACAGTTAGCTTAATTTGTAAAGATTTCATTTTAGGGTAATATTCCCTAGCATTACACAAGTATATTGTATTTGTGCTTGTTTTACTCGTTAGTATTGTTACCCAATTAAATCTTCATAAAAACATTTCAGCTCACATATGAACCAAAAATACTAAGGTGAGAGTTCTCTTTGTTATTACACTGCAAATACATGTTGCAATAGGCACAATCCTAGAAAAGGTCTCTTCTACATGTAAATATTTGCATTCAAAATCATTGGAGAGCATCCAATGGTGTCATTTTGCAAATTCAAAATAGTGCCATCAATTATTTCAGCTGTAAAATTGCTTGTGCAGTCATAACTTTAGCTGTACAGACAGACCCCAAGTTACGAATGTCCAATTTACAAATAATTCATACTTATGAATAAAGTGCCATAAAGCCTATTAATTTAAAAAAATACTGCAGAAAATCATCACCACCATGGGCAGGGGAGGGGGGAGCAAAAGAGGAAGGCCTCCAAATCATGCCTTCTTGCCCCATTTGTCCAGAGAGAGAAATCACTTCAGCATTTCCTGGCTGCAGAGAGGAGGCACTGGTGAGTTTGGGCAGGAAGGGGGCCTAGAGCTATTCACGGTTTTTCCACGTTCATGGGGTCCTGACCTCCGTGAATGCGGAAGCCTGACTATATGTGATCCAACTTACATACAAATTTCCATTTTCTCAGGAATGGAACTCATTCATAGCCTGGGGACTGCCTGTGTTCTCCTCCTGCTCATAGCCCAGAATGCAGCTCCCCACGCACAATGTCATTTGCACTAACAGACTGAACCAGTTAGATAATGCCCAATAACACTTAGCAGTGTTAGTTTTCCTTTAAACTCCACTGCTTGATTAATTTGAGGGGCATTTTTTTACAAAAGTTAAATAAATAGATTCGCTGCTGCAGCCTAGTCATAAGCCTTTGCTTAGAAGAAAGAGAAAAGGTATCAGAACACATCAAAGAGAAAGAAAGCCTCAAAGGAACATACTCCAAACCCTTACATTGTAAGGTGCCAACAGATGTCTTAAAACAGGGCCTCCTGTTTCCAGTCATCAGCGCCTTAATTCTGTACCACCGGCACTCTGGTCCTTCTGCAAATCAGGAAGATTAAACTCTGTGGATTAAGGGCACCCTTTAGACTGCAGTTCTAGTATGAATACAGTCAGCTGATTCCACAGCTCACATGCCAACAGGGACATACCAGGCTGTATAAAGCCCTCACATCCAAGTCAGGTGCTTGCTCTGAGCAGTGTAACACATTAAGTAACCATACAGGCTGCCTCAGCTCCTCTCAACCTTTACCACCAGCCTGTCTGAAGAGATGGGGTTATTTCTCTTGAAATGCAGCATTTCCAGTTAGTTTAGACCCAGAATGGGAACGAGACAGAAGAACAGAGGTTGGAAAGTGGCACAGAAATGCTAAGGCTGATGAGAGGAAGTTGTCAGGCAGCTGCTGAGAACCAAACTATCTCAGTTTTGGGAGGAGACACCATAGAACTGGGAGGGTCTGAGGAGCGGTATGAAAACCAGTGGGCCAGCAACAAGCCAAATGAGCATCCCAATGAAGAAACATCAGATGTTCTTGCCATATGGGCCACAAACAACACAAACCTCCCTGAGGGAGGTATCAAGCCTTTTGGGAAAGGAAGGGAGGAAGGGTCTTAAGTTTAAGAATCAAGGGGCAAGAGATAACAAACCTGAGAAACATTACTTTGATTGCTCCTTGAGAACAACCCTGCATCACAAAAAGCCTGCCTAGCTCAATTAAAAAGCTGTATTTTAAAGGTCTTCTATTTAGATCTGCTGGAAAGGAAAAGAGAAGGAACATGCTCTTAACTCAGCATCTGATGATGTCCCCTGCCTCTGGCTCCCTAATCCTCACTTGCATTAAGGATGGAACACCCAGCTGCAGTTAATCTCAAGAGTTTGACATTCAGAGCAAACTCAGCTATCAGATGGATCCACAACTGCCAAAGTTGCATTGGTGCACAAGTGCCAAAATGGTAGACTGCCATAACTCCTCCCACCAAAAACTTAAATGCAATTCTACATTATGGTAGGGGAAAAAAAGAAAATACTTTTATTGCCTGAAAGAAAAGAATTCAGAGTCATCTTTGAAAAACAAAAACCATACTGGCAATCTGGACCAGCTTTGTATAATCTGGTGCCGTCCAGATACTCTGGACTTCAGTGTACAGCAGTCCAAGTCAGTATGGCCAATTGTCAGGAATGCAGAGAGTTGTTAGCAAAACAACTGAAGAAAAGGTTAGACCAGTTGTTGAACAACTGGAGAAAAGGTTAGATCAGTTGTTGAACTGTAGCATGACACTTAAAGCAAAACACAAGCTAACTTTTGTGTTTGGCTTTAAACACACCTACCACAATTATGTCTAAACATAAATAGAACCTACCATAACCATGTAGCATTAGTCAGTTTTAATCATATTTGAAACATGTTATTCTGTACAACAAGTTAGCCAGCTGGTGAAGTTATGCCTTGTTATACCTGGTGAAATTATACACATGGACATTAAATTTCTTACTGTATCTTTCCTGCAGTAGCACAAGCTCCATTAAAGTAAGTGTACATAATTCATTAGGTTCTCAGGAAAGTTCAGGACCTGGGAAGTTAATACTTCTGTGAACAAGTACTAAATAAAAGGTCCTGGCATGCCTGGCATGTGACCTGTTCTACAGGGAGTTAAAATTCTTCTCCAATTATACTTGGGATTTGTGTAAATACAATTCCTACCAAGCTGAAACCTTTAGCCAAATGAAGCCAACACACTACAATGCTCCCACTGTGACCGCTTAGATACCAAGTTGATAAGCAGCTTAGCAATACAAGATTTGCATCACTTTAGAAACAGAATTTAAAGGGGGAAAAATAGCAAACGGGCAATCTAAGTTTGGGGTGGTGCGGAGAGGCAAGATGCTGTGCCAGCTTTCTCCAACTTGTTCTCTGGATGCATTAGATCATTGTACCTCCCCCAACCGGCGTAGCCAAGGCTGCACTGCACCCATCATGCATTGCAGCACTTAAGCAGGGGCAAGAAGGGACCAAAATTGCCATGCTGTAGATGGCTTACTTATCCCAGTCCTGCAGTGAGTAAGGCAGGGAAGTTGGATTTGCAAAGCAAACATTCAGAAAGTAAAAGTAATCCAGTATGCTCAAGAATTCAGCCACAACTGACTTCCCACAATATTTCTGCCTGATATGTCACCCTTGAGTAACTCCAGCTGCAATTTTCCTGAATTCTTTATCGCATCAGCTGAGCAACAGCAATGCAATTTATTGAAGTAGTTAATGTGCTTAGGTCAAGGGGACATTCTTACCCTTAAGTCACATTCTTCAATCTAAAACATGGGCAACTGATTTCAGCACAGCAGGGTCAGGAGGAAGGCTCATCTATTTGCTCTCTTTATGAAAGAAAATTAAGCCTTTGTCATCCAGGCAAGCCAGTTACCTTATGTTCCTTCACAAACCTGCATTTATCAGCTGACTTCTATGTTTGTCAAGTACTCCTTAAGGCCCATTCACAATGCTGAAGCAGTGGAAAACATTCCCATACTCTAGAGAGTGATGCTAAAATTGCCAAGATCATGCACCTTTCCTTGTACCCTACCCCAGGAGGGAATGACTAACATACACAGAATGGGAAACTCTGAAGACCTTTGTACCAATACAGGTCTCCCCACTTTGCCCAATTTTTTGCTTGCTCCTTTTGATTAAACCCAAGAAAACACACCCTAATCTCAGGGAATATAATCCTACCCATATCCCATCCCATGCCGTACTCCAGTTTTTCCTTTATTTTTAAGATAGATTAGTGACACACTGGTATGTTCAACAATTAGCTCAAAAACTATTCACCAAGGGGCAAGGGAAAGGGAAAGAAGTCCAATACCTGCAAAACTACTTTCTCAGCCTTTAACCTCAAAATCACTTCTGCGTCTTTGATAAACAATCCCAGACTCACCTAACTTGGCCTCTACTAGCATGGGTCCGTCCCCGCCGCCCAGGACACACACACAAGCCTACTCTCTGACTAGACACCTGTCCCCATTCTGCTCATCTAACACACTGTTAAGCCCTCGTGGAAGAACTTGCGCTGCTGCGGTGTTCTGTGCATACAGTCTAGCGCACTGCAGCCACTCCGTCAAGGTTCACTCACAGCAGCAGCGGTCCATGTGCAGAGCAGCAAGCCTTCCAACATGCACTGCCAAGTTCCTTTAAAAGAATTTCAGCTTTCTTTTATTGTTTAGCAAACCTCCAGTGTTCATCCATTCAGGCAAAGAAGTCAGTCAACACATCAGCCATTCAGACTAATACCTCCCGATGCAGTAAAAGAAACACATTTTGTATTTTTAAGAATTAAGCAGAAACCAAAATGTTCCTCACACCTTTCCAGCATTCTACTACTGCTTGGTGAGGGGAAAACATATCAGGCCATATACAGCAGGATTATAATAATTTCATTATTTGAAGGAAGTATCCAACTTCCTTTAAATATTTGTGATAAGAGTAACCTTGTATAAGAAACTGGTGTTTTCCATAATAAGTTGCTGTCTGTCACCAGTTCCTTGTCACCGGGTGACAAAAGTTTTGTTTCCAATCCACATTCTTTAGGCATGTCTCAACTAGTTCCCCTGAGCAACTCTTTTCAGGCAAAGAAGTTAACAAAGGTCTATAAACAGCTCCTCATGCACAGACACACAAACATGTGTCTGCAAACATGCCCATCACACACACACGTGTGCACACACACAAAGCTATAACAGGTACCTTTTCATAATGGTGCTGCACTGAAATTTCTGGTTTCATCTTCTCTTAAGAATCACTGCTTCCTGCCAACCAGTTTATTAAAGTTTTAATCTTACTGACCATGGCAGAGGTGAGATAAAAGCATTGTAAGCAAACTTCAAATTAGGGTACAATTCCTGCTTCAGAGGCTACACACTGACACACAGAGCCATGGAGTTTCCACATTAACTTCACTCACCAAAAACCTCTGTGATCAATACCCTGACAGCCAGGGTCGAATGTTTCCATACTTAATTAGAAGCCACCCCTGGGCATTTATGAGGTTGGGAGAGAAGAGGAGGCTTCTAATTAAGTGCAAAACTCATCTAGTCATTGCTAGTAACTGGACAATAATTTGGCAGATGGCTTATGACATAGATGACCCTCAGAAGCATATGTACCCACACCAGGAGGCGTCAATTGCTTTGTCCCACTGTGCAGTCACTGGGGATCAGGTGCTTCTGTAGCACAAAGAAACAACTCTCTTCCCTGGAATGCAGCACAATGAACAATGGTAGCCTGCCACCAATTTCCAGTCTGCAGCAATGGTCTGGTGAACAGAAACTGTGCTCCCCATTTCTGAAGATGGCAGTTCTACAAGCAGCAGTGCTAATCCAGACTGCTGCACCATTACAACAGCCCGGACAGACACCAATACCCTACACATCATATTTGGCAGCAGTTTCAAAGACAGTAATTACAAACACAGTTCAGCTGTCTGTACTTTAGATACCAATAAACCACATAAAGCAAGTATATGTAATACTTGTGAGTATTACAACAGCAGTCCTACCTAAAGCCAATTCAGGTTTAAAAAACAGACAGAGCAACTCTGGCCTCTTTTGTCACCCCTCTCACTGTCCCACAAAAATGAAAGCTTGCAAATCAAACTTGCAGCCAAATCCATGATCTACAGCAGTGATCTGAAGTGTCGTGTCTGTCTTAACTACTCACCTGGAAGGACTAACCAACAAGCAGAGTGGATTATATTCCCTTTCACATTATGCTCATATTCACATTCCTATTCACTAGAACTCTTTCCTGTCAGAACACGAGAGTGAACAGCCAAGCATGGATTAAAGCAGCCTCTCCCAACTTGGGACCCCTCCAGATACATTGGACAATTCCATCATACCCAGCCAGCAGACATGTTGGGTGTGGATGACAGCAGTTGTAGTCTCATACACCTGAAGACTGTCATATTAGGGAAGATTATTCATATTCATAAAATATGAACGACCATTTTTCTCCTATAACTGAACTACTTCTCTATAATGGACAGCATATGCAGAAAATGAAGTTAATATCAACACAATGTGCGACATCTGTTCAACACTGTGTTCTTTTAATTGTTAAAATTATCAGTCTGAGCAACCTACAGTTTATTGGTTGGATTGCAACAGATCCTTTGAAAAAGTGCCTCTTCACACAGCATTTCCTGACCCATTATGCAAAAGCTCTTTCAATATATTTTTAACCTCCAGAAAACAAAGGAAATTCTTCAGCAACTGAATTAAACAGGCCTCACTTTCAGTCTTAAGGACAGAAACAAAGCATTTGGGAAATAGGAACGCAAAGGCACCCACGTAATTGATCTTAGGTGACTGAGTACCTAGCAACACAAGTCAAATGTTCTCAAGGGTGTGTTAGAAAGAGCAAATGATTGAAGATCTTGTGTCCCACGTGGCACATCTTCCTATTTCTGTGACCCATACATGTTTTGCAGCTTTTCAGCATAAACATCTGTGATGCCATTGATTCCTGGGAAGAACTATAATACTAACTGGCCATCTGCACATAATGAAAGGACTTCAGTTGTTCCTACAAAGATGTTCAGTTGCAGAAACAAGGATTTTTCCTTAGGAAACACATTCTCAGAGGCACTGTAGTTTACTGGTGTTTTTCACACTAAAAGGGAGAATGCTACAGAGGCTTCAGTTCAAATCCCTATTCAAATCCCTTTTTGAAAAAGCTCACCAGTTGTCGTTTCTCTGTCTAACCTACCTCACAAGGTTCTTATGAAGGTAAAAATGGATGCAAGAAAGAAGTACCTCATATGTCATCTGAACTAGAGCGATCATAAATGCAAAATTCATACCTGCATGAATGTGTACCTAGTGGCACCCGGATAGCAGATAACAGAACCTCTTGCATCAAAATTGTGACCTAAAAGGCACTGCTGACAAGGCAATATATACTGCAAGATAACATTCACTAATATATTATACCAGTACAGTATGTGGAGGTTACTTTGACTAACAGTAGTCTTTCAATAGTGCGTTCAGATCACATCTGAAAAAATAATCAAGAAAGAATTTCTCTCTGGCATACATTTGGCCAAATCTGTTCAGCATATGTTGAACACACATAACATGCAGCTCTGTTTGGCTTCCTGTGGAGAAAAGAGGGATCCACCTTATGTGCATTCAACAGATTTCAAACCTGAACTAAACACAGGACTTCTTTTTCAGGACGTTACACCAGGGATGAGGAACGTTGTTACAAAGGCCAGAAGTGGCCCTGTGGGGTTCTCCATCTGGTCGGCAAGCTTCTTCTGCTGTTATCTCCAATCACTGACTGGAAATAAGATGCTATTGGAAGGAGACTAAACTTGAAATACCCAGCATAGAACTGAGCTGTTCCTTTGCGGGGACAAAAGCCATTGAACCAGGGCTTACTCTAGATTAAAGTACTCTTTAGTACTACAGGTAGTACTTACTCCCCAAGCCTGTACTACCACATCTCTCAGGAACGGAGTCGGGGCCAGCCTCATGGGTTGACATAGGCAAGGAATGAATGGATGAATCCCACTCCTCAGCACTGCTTGGCCCCCAATCCCTTCTCCCTTCCTCCTTGCTGTCACTCCCTGTTCGCCACCCTCCCAAGTGGGGCTGCAGCCCAAACACTGAGGACAAGGAGAAATTGCCTAAGTGTTCTTTGCATGCTCCTTCTGGGTATTACCATGTAATGGGCCCAGAGGGAGAAAAAACAAAATATTTGTGATATGAGGGGGATAGTAGGTGGAGGACTTGTCATCCAAGCCCCTGCCCCTTTAGCCAACACTGACTGGGGCAACACAGGACATTGGGAACATGGGATCACCCTGTGAGAGTTGGGCCCTTTGAAGATATCAGAGGGCTGCAAAAGATGTCACTATGGGAGCCACTACAATGTGAAATTCAATGTGGAGAGAGCCTCCTACACACTATGTTCCAGCATGGAAACTGCTAGGCCTGGCCCACACTCTAGATGGGAATTCTCTGCGCTTTTGAAGAAGGATTAGGGTTGAGATATAAGAGATATATAACAACAAAAGTTTGCGTATTTCCTCATTCTGCTGTGGCTTTTGTTTTGTTTTAAATCCACTGTATCTCATAGTAGTAAGAAAGGGTTTACTGGTTATATCCACAGTGTGCTGTGGCAAACATAATGTTGGTGTGCTACCCTATTATTTTGGAAAACAGTTTAAGAACTTCTAAAAGTACAACTGCACAGCAGTGTGGAATGATTAAAATCCTAGAGGGGAAGACCTATTTATAGCATTGATTTAAATCAAATTTCTAGCTTTCTTATTCAATCTTATATAGCAGAGAACATAACCTCTGCTCTCTGTTATAATGCAGTATAATCCAATGACTCTGGTCATGTAGAATCCATGTTTTTGCTTTCACAAAGATACCTTTTTAAGAACAGGAAAGCAATTGTGAAGCTAAGGGTTTCTATTTGTCATCCTTTTTGATAAATAAGCAAGATCATTTACCTGTAAACTAGACTTATAATTCTATGTACACCTACCTGAGATTAACCCTTCCTTAATACAATGAAATTTACTTCCAAGTAAGCATGGACAAGATTGCAGTGGATGTACCAAAAACTTTTCATAGGCAAGGGCTGGTAGTTACTGAGCCAAACTGTATTTTCCTCATGAGCCTGTTCAGATGATCATACCTGAGATTCATAAGTCAATAACTGAATTCACCTTTTACCTGTGTGCACAGCATCTTCGATTTACAAGCAATTAATCATAGTTTTCTGTGTTGTCTGAACTAGGAAACTATGTTCTGAATAAGTCAAGGTATTAAACTAACATTTAGAGTTGCTTTAATATCCTTGCATGTTCCAAAGCTGGACACCATACAGTGGTACCTCAGCTCACGAACGCCTCTGTTCATGACCAAATCAGGTCGCGAACAGAAATTTCAGATAAATTTTGCCTCAGGTCACGAATTCCACATTGGGCGATGACCACAATCGTGGCCATGTTGCAGCACGAACATGATTGCGTTCGCGGCCATCTTCGCTGCACGAGCACAATCGCGCCCGTCTTCCCTGCACAAGAATGATTGTGATCATGGTCATCTCCCCCCCTCCGAGCACAATCGTTATCGCATGGTTATCGTTTGGACTCTCCCTCCAAACAATAACCTCCCCCCGCCACCTAGGTTAGTGTCCTTTACTGTACTTTACTTTGTTGTTGTTAATTTGTTTCAAATTTTTGTGATTTAAAAAATATTTACAGAATGGATTAACCTTATTTACATTGAACCTTATGGGGAAATTTGACTTGGCTCGTGACCAAAATCGACTCGTGACCAGAGTTATGGAATGGATTAAGTTCGTGAGCCAAAGCACCACTGTAGTTTCTCAACTACATTACTGTCCAAACATGGTCTTCGCAATAAAAGTAAAATGTTCCAGGTAGTTTGGCTGTCAGTTCAATGAAATACATGCCTACTATGTCACACATAATAATATATAATGATCACAAGAGTCAGATAGTTTTTCTATCAGTTTGTTCGTTCTTTTCTCAAAAAAGGAGGCTTTAATTGAAAAAAGAACAGTTTTAAGAGTGATAGTATGCAAACCTTAACATGTTTGAATTTCAATTTAATTTTAAGCCAAATTTTGAGGAATGTTTACTGTAAATAGAATATAAAAATCCTAAACACATTTTACTGTTTTAAAAGCCTGATAAAAATAATATTTAAAAGTAGATTTTATCTAATTTACTGGATACATCAACATTTAGGAATGTAAGCATTATATGCAGGGCCTTGTATTTATGCCAAACATTTTTCAAGAGTTGATCTATCCCTAAATGTACATTTAGTACATGCACAGAACTTAATTCTGCCAGTAATCAAGTCTCATTCGTTTGCAAGTCTTAAGATGCCAGCCAGCCAATTGCTGCTTTTTTAATGTGAAGTAAGTACACAGATTAATGTTTTCACCAAGAAAAACAGCTAGGTCCATATGGTGCAGATCAGAAGGCTCAGTTTGCAGAAAAGTGTACTGAGCATTTAAAAAATATAGACACTTGAGTAACACATGCTGCAGATTAACAACTGTAAGCAAAGGACTTGATTATGGTAGTTTATCAGAACATAATTATGCTACAGTGTGCTCTACAGTGTTCACCCTGAGATTGGATATTGAACGTGCAATCTATACAGCTTAGTCTACTGACATTAAAACATACTTTTAAGATGACCCACTGGACATTGTTTTAGAGCAAAATTTCAGGAAAAAGCCAATATAAACCAATGCAAGACTTAAAACTTCAAATAGAAACCATGTTTGCTTAGATAGTAAACAGTGGTTTTTTCCCAAGTTAGTGATTCAACTATGCTTGTTTAAATACATTTGCAAAGAACGTGTTTCAAAGGGCAACATATTT